CAAATAAGATGAACCAGGCCATGCAGGGCCCTGAATGTCAAGCAAACTCTCCTTTAGCTATGCAAGCTCACATTGCCTGCTGGGTGGGCTTCCTGAACACGCCCACAGTGGGCAGTGACAGGCTCCAGTTCAAACATTCCTCACAGGAGGGGGACCACATGGGGTAAGATGGAGAGAGGAACAGATAAGTCATTGGACTTAGGGCAAGTGAGAAACATCTCATGAGGCCCTTGTCTCACATCCCCAGAATCTCACTTGCCAGTGCCCCTTGTGCAGGAAGTCACAGTGGCTGCCCAGCATCTTGATAAGCCTCTTTTTATCATCAGGTTCCACCCTTGTTACTGCAGACACCTCCTAAACAGGAGTAGGAGAGCATTCTCTGGTGTTTGGCACTCTGTGGAAAGCTCCTCTTTTTCTACTCACCACCTTCAACTAGAAGATAGCGCTCAGGTAAGAGTCAGCTCAAAACTACCTTCTCTCAAAGGCAATTTTTTTGTTTTCTCCCTCTTAGTCCACATGGTCATGACTGTGTCTTGGGCTGGAGCATGCAAGGAGCCATGGGCACCCATGAAGGAGAGTCCAGAGACATGAAGCTCCCTCAGGGAAGCTATGGGTGCTGGTAGCTTAGTCTGTGAGGAATCCAGGTCCTCTCTGCTTCACAGACATTGTTTTCAAACCTGAATTGTTGTTAATAACCTCAGATTTCACACAGTACTTTGCTGTTCTATGAGTTTGTTTGTTATATGCAGGTATCTTTCTGTCCCAGCCAAAAACACAAGGCACAAACAAATAGGCAATTGAAGAGAGTTTAATAAAAAGACTGTGTAGAATGGGTGAGCAGGATGAGACACCTAAAGATTAGTCATAATAGGGAGCTATTGCCCTTGCACATCCTGAAATGTAAAGGGAAAGATAAGTTTCCAGAACGCAGGGAGGGCTGTGTCTGTAGCAGTGGTCATCACTGTGACTGAAAAATAAAAGGCCAACAGACAGGAGCTATCTCCTTAATTAGAGTAACACCAACATGGCAAATTCACAACCTGACAACAGAGAGGCAGGGAGTTAAAACCTCAATCACCCTCCTCCTGTTCTCCAATCAGCTGTCAGTGTCACCCTTTCCTGAGAACAACCAGGAGCCAGAAGGAAAGGGGGCAGTGGTGAGGCAAAGAGATGTGTCCTCCCAGGATGCAGCGGAGGGTAGAGAAGCTGGAAATGAAATTTGACGTCAAATGAAGAGAATCCATTTTTCTTATAGCCTCTTCTTAGTTGCTTTTCCTGGGACTTCTCTCTCAAGTTACATCAACTTGTTATTACATCTCATTTATTTGATCTGTTGGCACCCCCTACTGGGTGTCACATCTTAAAAATAATATCTCTCATCATACATGCCTTGAGGATGGAATGTATGTTATTTTTCAAGGTGGCTGTATACAAATATTTTTAAGAATTTTAATTTATGATTTTGGTAGTCCTAGAAAGTAATGTATAAGAGATTATTAGAACCTGGCTGGTGATTTCAAGGCATCAGACACCTGTGCTGTTTCAAATCACTGCTCCCAAGCCCTAGAGAGGTGACTTCATGCTCCTGCAGGGCTCCCAGATTCATCAGCATTCCATCCAGAGGAGAAGAGGAGAAGGAAAGGCACAACCTAAAATTGGTTACGTAACTTGTGCTCACCTCCCATTGGCTACCACCTGGTCACATGGTGCCATCAAATGGGAATGGAAAATGGGATTAGAATCCATTTTCTGGTCTAAAACTCTCAGAATTATTATATAAGAGAGAAGGAAATGGATATTTAGACCAATTAGCATTTCTACACCCTGAAGCTCTCTCATGTTCTGAGTTCACATGAAGAATTTGCTCAGGTGCTGATCCCACAATGAGGCAGAGAACAGTGGGAAACCTCAGGCTGGGCTCCAGGAGGCCAGGGCTGGCATTGGACCTGTTGTTCACCCTGTGATCTCAGGGAAATCTTTGGCTCTTTCAGCCTCAGCTTCTTCCTGAGTTAAAGGATGATATTATAGCAGATGGTCTCTAAGAGACATGTGCTCAATGCTGAGGATACAAAATAAACTAAATAATTGACATGGGAGAATGGCTGACTGAACAACAGTAGATCCATCCAAGGGAATACTACCCTATCAAATAATAGCCAGGCATGGTAATTGACCATACCTTTTCTATGCCTCCCATGGGCTAATCAGCATGATATGCAAATTAATCACCCAGAAAGATGGTGGTTAATTTGCATATACCAGCTCCCAGCGAAGCAAGCCAGGCGGCGGAGGCCGGAGCAAAACAAGCCGGGAGGCGGCGCAAAACAAGCTGGGCAGGATGGCAGAGGGAGGCGGAATCGAAACATGCCCGGCCT